GTTTTAGGGTTCCATTACTCCTCGCTCTCTCTTGGCAGTTGGGGTGAGGGGTTGGAGGTCTCTTGATATCTTCTTCTCTTGACCTCTCGGCTATGGTGAATCGTCTGGCTTCTGAATTCCTCCTTGAATCCTCTTCCTTCTCGGTTGTGACTTACAACGGTTGGTAATATCTTGAATAAATCTTATTTTTTTTGGACTATAAATGTGATGGTGGTCGGTGGTTTTGACTTTCGATTTCTATTTTAGATTATGTTATTTTTTATGGAGGATTTGTTCTTTCATTTTTCCCTAATTTGGTCGGTGTGAGACTGTCGGTGTGACGGTGTTTCTGGACTCTGCTGCTTCCATATGAGTTATGAGTGTATGACCGACAAACCGAGCTTCTTGTTACTAGCTGTCTATGTCGCACACCTGCACGGTTTGATTAGGGCTTGCTGCTGTTGCACAGTTAGAGTGTAGTTTAGTGTTGTACTATTGCAGTGTTGCTCTTGCTATTGAGATTAGGGCTTAGGCCTCTTGGAGTTGGTGGCTTGCTTCATGCAACCTGTTATGTTGCAAAAAATAGAAAAAGTGGACTACTTAGGATGTGATATAATAACTGTAATTTTAGTTATAAAAGTCATATTATCTCTATTATTATAGTATTATACTGTTATGTAGACATGTAGTGTTATCATGTTATGGAATATGAATAATAATTTTGTATTGATTGCCTATTTGGGCAATGGGCAATGGGTAATGGGCTATGAGTTATTGAGGTTTATATGGCGATGATGAAGAACTTGGTGAAGTTATGCATCAGTTGCGACACACAGTTAGTTGCAACCGAGTTATAAATTGGTAAAAGACTAAAAGAAATTTACATTGGGTTGAGCAGATGCTATTTAATTGAATAGAAAATTACCAATTTGTAATCTTGGATGGCACACTTTCTGTTATTGTTGCAGCTGATGTTTCTTAGCTAGGTTCACCCTGAGCCAACGGCTTTGGTTGCTAGTAGTCAATGAATTGTTGCTTTTATTTGTTGTTTTCATTTTGCATTGCAAGTTAAATTATGTCTAGATTGAAAGATTGAAAGAGTGAAAGAGAAAAAGCAGCTCGCCAGCTTGACACTTCTTTAGTTAAATTGTATTTCTATTTATAATATTTTTCTGTAACTTATATTCTTGTAATTTGTAACTTGCATTTTACTGTAACAGCCTATATGACTATATGTTGTCTTCTTGTAACATGTAACTTGTATTCTATAATCAATTGACAATTTGACATCTATTTTCTAATGTTTTTTGTAACTTGTAATCTTGTATTCTTATAACTTGTATTCTTGTTACTTATTTTCTTGTAATTTTCTAATATTAAGTAATTAAGTTGTAATCTTCAATTCTTGTAAGTTGTAAATTTGTATTTTTTTCTGTAATGATAAAAAAAGATATTAAATTTTTTTACCAGGTTAGCGGATTGGGTCAACCCGAAAACCCGTGGAAGCTGGAAGGAAGGCAAATGTTCGGGTCCTCGGATCGGGTCGGGTCAACTCACAAACCCGCTCAGGTTGAGTCCGGGTTGTAAATCCTGACACGTTTAGCTAAACGGGTCGGGTCCGAGTCAGCCGTTTATGCTCGGGTCAATGCGGGTTGGACCCGAACCCGATCTGTTGACCCGAATTGACACCGCTACGATAAACTATTTTGAGAAACCCTTCATTTGAATCATGGTTACTTAAATTAGACAAATTTAAAAATTGAAATGATCGTACTGTACGATTCAATTCGTATTGTATGAGAAATTCGTACTTTACTAACCAATACGTAATATAATAAACATTAATTAAAATTTCCTAATTTAATTATGAGGATTAAGGAATCATATTAGATTAAATTAGTATTATTTATAGTATTGTATGATATATTATCGTACTATATAATTCACATGAGTACTTGCTAGACAAACCTCTATTTGTCCTAGACTATATAT